CTTGTGAAGTTTCAGAGCCAGGAGGACTTTAACATATTGGTTGTCAGGATTCAGCCGAATGGCTTGCCTCAGAGGGTCAATGGGATTCTGAGGCGGTGGCCGGTTATCTAGACGGTAGCTCGCAATTGCCAGTCCACAGATGACTTCTGGATTCTTTGGGTTCTTTTCCAGAGCCTTCTGAAAACACGCCTTTGCCCTTTCATTTTGGTTTCCTCCACACTTTAACCGTGACCACCCTTCCTCACAATCTATTTCAGGTCTCTCAATTCTATAGTGGCTGGAAAACTTCTCGCACACTTGTTTTACCTTGTCTACATAAATTTGAGCTTCTGCGAGTCTGCCCATGTGATAGTAGACCCAGGCATAGTTTCCCCAGGTGACCAGACTTCTGATTTCTGCTTGGTCAGCATGCTCTTGCTGGATTAACTCTTCAGCCTGTTGTAAGCTTTCCAGGGCTGCCTCATTTTGGCCTCTGTGGTGTTTTATGTAGGCCAATATGTTGTACATTGTGGCTTTGAATTCATTGTTCTGAAACTCAATCTGGTTACACACTCTGTCTTCAAAATCATCCAAGGAATTTTCTCCCTCTAACAAGTTCCAGGTGAAATGGCATTTTAGTTGCCGTAGGCTGCTCTCCAAGGAGTTCTTTGTGGTCTCACTATAGGGGAAAACACAAAGATGGACATTTTGAGAAATAGCACAGATTTACCAATTCTTTTTTTTCTTTCTGTATTTTGGTGTGTGTGTTATATGCTGGGGGAAGCAGCCATTGGGTAACTATGGGCAGCAGAAGAGTTAGGGAGAAGGAGTGGGCAGGTCTCTGAGCCTGGGGCTAGGTTTTCTGGAATAAGGCAGTGTTTGTGAGGTGGCGCTGGTCCTCCGCTCTCTGCTTGTGACGGCCTCTGCAGGGGCTGCCAAATCTGTGGCAACTGATTTTAGCGGAGGTTGGATTTTATGTGATGTTTAAGCAGTAATTCTATTTACTTGCTTTTTGTTTCTGTTCTTCATTTTTACCTAGAATTACTTTTGTATTTTGAAATTTTAGTTGTAAAATTTTCTACTCTTTTAATGTTTTGCCATTCTGATTTTAATCTCTTGTTATCCCTCTGAAATTCAACTCCATTTTATCTTCTATATTTTTAATTCCTTAGTTCTCCTTAATTTGTCTGTTTAAATCTTTATTACTTTCTATGTCCTGTCTAATTATTTGTGCTTTTCATATATCCTGAATTGATTATTTTTGTTTTTCCAAACTTTTCTATCAATTTGGTTTTGTTTTGTCTTTTTATTATTTTGACATTCTATGTTCTCATTTTTTCTGAACTTTTCCATCTTAACCATTTAAATCTTAATTTCAACCATTCTTCATTTTTACTCATTTCCCCTGCTTTTGTATTATTCTGCCTCTTAACTTTATTATTATTATATATGTTAGCAGTGTCTTAAACTTTCATTTTGGAATAAAATATAATCATTTTTTCCTCCCCTCCTCCCCACCTCTACTTCTTAGACTGGTGATTTCTGTTTTTAACATGTCTCGTTGAGGTGATCTATTAATAATTTTGCATTTGTTGCTTTAATTTTCTTTTGAAATTTTATTTTTCCTCTCTTGCGGTTTGCTTTCGTAACAGGGGGTTAGAAGTGTGGCTACAGGAGGAGGCCCACAAGACAGCTAGCATCTTTTCTTGTGGAAAATGGTCTTTTTCCCTTAGGGTGCCCCTACAACTCTTCTGGAAAGATTTTCCATTCTCTCTAGTGTTCGTCCTCAAAATTAATAAATAAATAAATAAACAAATAAGCAAAGCTAACCAAATAGAAACAGCAAACAGACAAATAAACAAAAAGCCTATCTTGAATAACTTTAGAGATGAGTAGGTTAAAAATCATTAATTGCCCAAAATTGTTTCTCTACATTGCCTATGTGTTAGAAACTCTGAAATGTAGCTTTTTCTCACTTAAAAAATTTTTCTTCATGGTATATATGAATTAGCTCTTTTATCAGGAGCTGATATTCTAAATATTATGGATTATGACATAGAGAACCAATAGATATCTGTGAAGTCATGTAATGTGGCAAGGCTCACTTTTGAAACACTTGTCCAAAGTGTTTGGACATTTTCTTCCTGCCCCCTATCTTTCACTTTTTATAGCCCCCTCCCACCACCTAATTTGATTGGACCAGGGCTGGGCACACAAACTTGAGTGAAAGCTGGAAATGGAACTGAGAGGTAGTGAGGGAGCTGGAGCCAGTTTTCACATGTTATGAAGAGTACTGTGCACGCTGGGGTCTGATGGTGACCATATTCTGTAATATATGCTGCGGAGTGAGTGACCCAGATGCACATGGAGAAGACACAGAGTCTGGATCCCTCAAGCTCTCCAGTCGTCTATTCTAGTCCTCCTGGGGTTGCTATAGTCCATGGGTCCTGTCAGCCACTCTAGGAACTTGAAATCAGTTCCTGGGCATATCTGTTACTTGAAACAAATGGAGATTTAACTACCTCAAGTAGAATAAACAAAAAATAGGATGGAAAATGGGTAGGAGTTTCCAGTCAGGGAAGGACCCTCTGTCCTTTCAAAGCCCTGGGCAGGTCTCAGTGAAGAGCCAGGCTGTCTAAGCCTCTTGATATAACATGGGGGGCGGGGGGCAGGGAGCCCAAGAGAGTGCCTGGCTTGGTATCTGGCATTGTAATGACAGGAGCCTCCCCTTGAAAAGTTCATGTCCAATCTGATCTATTTTCCTTCTCAGTGAGGCTACAGGAAGATTCCCTTAGCACATAAGCTGTTTAGCTCCTTTCTCATTTTATAAAAGAAACAGAGAGAGTGAATACAGTTGAAATTATCTCCAATATATAAAACATATAGTCAATTGTGTATTTGCAGGATAGAGACATTTAATATATACACTCATAAAATCCCTTTGAGCAGCCATTCAAAAGGCATCCAATTTCACTGTGTGATTATGGGTTTTTATTTCCACTGGTAAATCAGAAGCTGGTCCCAGATACTTGATTCCTGGACTCAGACTTGTGAGACTTATGCTCCCGATGCCTCTAGAAGTTCCAACTGTTTACACAACAACAATTTCTTCCCTTGCTTTTTGTCTGGTTGAAAGCCACAGTATCACCGTTCACCAGGCTCAGATCTCATGCTGCCACTACAGTGTCTTAGAGCAGTACCAACACCACCAAGGAGCCTGTTAGAAATGCGCATCCTTGGATCCAAACTCAGAACTACCAAATCAGATCTAGGGGAGGAGCTAGAGCCCAGGAATCTGTCTTGTAAGCTCTCCAGGTGTTTGTTATGCATGCTCAAATTTGAGAACCACTGTCTTAGAGCATAGGGGCAATGCCTGGTGACAATGCTTATAGCTAAAGAATCAAAGAAAATTAGAAGAGAGATTGATGAGTCTGTATTATTATGGGAAAGATTCTAAGAGAAGACCATGCTAAAATTGTAAGAATTAGGAACAAGGATTCTAAAGATTCTGAGTTACCATAAAAACAGGCATCTGGAAATACCTCAAATCTTTTTTTTTGTCCTATCAGGCAGACATGCAGACTAGCAGAAAAAAAAATCATTTCTAGAAGAGAGATCAGGAAACTTATAGAAGGAGGGCACTGTGTTCTCTAGGAAGTAAGTGTCCTCTAGGCTGGTGTCACTGCATTCTGGAGCTCCCAGGACTGAAGCTTAGGCATCCTTACCCTCAAACTGGAGAAAATAGAAAGCTCCCTTCCTCCCCAATGACCTAACACTTCCTCCCCAGGGCAATCTTATGTTTCTGGGTGTGAGAGGATGGGGACTATTTTCTCTAAGCACTCTATATCCAATTCATAATTCAGATAGGAGGACTTTAGCCAATCAGTGGAATTTTGGGGTAAAATACATTTCTGTTGAATGAATGAATACATTTTATGAGACGTAATACAAATCTGAGATGATGAACACATTAAACGTAATATCCACCTTAGCCTGAAGCGGGGTTGCTACCCTGAGTACATTTTTAACAATATCTGCTAAAAAGAGATCTTTTGTTAAATAAGAATCTTATTAAAAGCCCCTCACTTAATCCTTTCTGATAAGAAACAAAAGAGAGACAGTCTACAGGAGCTACATCTTTAGACTGTGGACTTAGTCTACAGACCCCATCTTTAAATGAAGCACCTGCATGATTAATCTTCTCTCTCTCTGCCCCCTTCCTTCCTACCTCCTTTCTGACCTCAGCTCTCAGCTTCT